AAAAACCACCTTAAACTTCATATGGAACCAAAAGAGATCCCGCATAGCCAAGTCAATTCTAAGCAAAAAGAACAAAGCTGGAGGCATTACACTACTGGACTTCAAACTATACTACAGGGCTACAGTAATCAAAACAGCATGGTACTGGTACCAAAACAGAGATATAGACCAATGGAACAGAACAGAGGCATTGGAGGCAACGCCATACATCTACAACCATCTGATCTTTGACAAACCTGACAAAAGCAACGGGGAAAGGATTCCCTGTTTAATAAATAGTATTGGAAAACTGGCTAGCCATGTGCAGAAAGCAGAAACTAGACCCCTTCCTGACACATTACACTAAAATTAACTCCAGATGGATGAAAGACTTAAACATAAAACCTAACACCATAAAACCCCTAGAAGAAAACCTAGGCAAAACCATTCAGGACATAGGTATAGGCAAGGACTTCATGACCAAAACACCAAAAGCATTGGCAACAAAAGCCGCAATAGACAAATGGGACCTAATCAAACTCCACAGCTTCTGTACAGCCAAAGAAACAGTCATTAGAGTGAATCAGCAACCAACAGAATGGGAAAAAATTTTTGCAATCTACCCATCTGACAAAGGGCTAATATTCCAGAATCTACAAAGAACTAAAACAGGTTTAGAAGAAAAAAAAATAAGCCCATTCAAAAGTGTACAAAGGATGTGAACAGACACTTTACAAAAGAAGACATACAGGAGGCCAACAAACATATGAAAAAATGCTGATCATCACTGGTCATTAGAGAAATGCAAATCAAAACTGCATTGAGATACTATCTCACACCAGTTAGAATGGTGATCATTAAAAAATCAGGAGACAACAGATGCTGGAGAGGATGTGGAGAAAAAGGAACACCCTTACAGTGTTGTTGGGAGTGTAAATTAGTTCAACCATTGTGGAAGACAGTGTGGCAATTCCTCAAGGACCCAGAAATAGAAATTCCATTTGACCCAGCAATCCCATTACTGGGTATATATCCAAAGGATTATAAATCATTCTGCTGTAAGGACACATGCACACCTATGTTCATTGCAGCACTGTTTACAATAGCAAAGACCTGGAACCAACCCAAATGCCCACTGATGATAGACTGGACAGGGAAAATGTGGCATATACACACCATGGAATACTATGCAGCCATAAAAAATGATGAGCCATGGAATACTATGCAGCCATAAAAAATGATGAGTTTGTGTCCTTTGTAGGGACATGGATGAACCTGGAAACCATCATTCTCAGCAAACTGACACAAGAACAGAAAATCAAACACCACATGTTCTCACTCATAGGTGGGTGTTGAACAATGAGAACACATGGACACTTGGAGGGGAGCATCACACACTGGGGTCTGTCAGGGGGGAAATAGGGGAGGGACAGCATGGGGGTGGGGAGTTGGGGAGAGATAGCATGGGGAGAAATGCCAGGTATAGGTGATAGGGAGGAAGGCAGCAAATCACACTGCCATGTGTGTACCTATGCAATAATCTTGCATGTTCTTCACATGTACCCCAAAACCTAAAATGCAATTAAAAGAAAGGAAGAAAAGAAAGAAAAGAAAGAAAGAAAGAAGAAAGAAAGAAAGAAAGAGAAAGAAAAAGAAAAGAAAAAGAAAGAAAGGAGAAAAAAAAGAGAGAAGGAAGAAAGGAAGGAAGGAAGGAAGGGAGAGAGGGAGGGAAGGAAATCCCACAGAACTCTGTTTTAGGGTAAAGATCTTGGGGCCCACAAGGAATTTCTCTGTGAGAAAGTATGAGAGAGTTCCCCTGGAAGGTATGTGGCCTTCTATCTTTGCAGTTATCTATTTGGGAACAAAATGGTTTTTGGTGACTCAGTTTCTAAGCTTAACCTTTCCCTTTGGCTTACTGAGTTTGGGATCCTGAGATTTTTATTTTCCTTTCACAGAAATATCCGAAGGTCCTCAGAATTTGCATTAATCTTTTGAGATTATCACAAATACACATACACACACACACACACACACACACACAATCAGGAAGGATCACCCACAAAAATGCATGCACATATGTTTCCTATCAGAGGTTTCTTTGTTGAATCTTTAATACCAACGCAGAACCTGGAATAGGGCATGTTCAGTAAAACGCTGTTGAGTGAATGAGCTACAGTCCATCAAAGGGTAATATGAAAGTTTTCACCGTCGGCTTTAGTAGAGTGGTTAAGGGTTTCAGCTTTGGAGTCAGAGAGACTTTAGTTCAAATACTGGCTGTATGATTTCACTTTGGGCAAGTTTTTTCTAACCTCTCTAACCCTTATCTGTAAAATGGGGAATAATAATAATATCTCTCTCATTAGGTTTTTGTATGGATTAAATAAGGTAATACATGTAAAGTACTTAGTACAATGCCTATCACTAAATGAAAACGAAAAAAAAAAAAAACCCACCTTAAAAAGTAAGGTAGACTGTCCACTTCTAACTAAGGATAAACCAATGGCGAAATTCTGAATTAATATTAAACATTAAAACACTAATTAAATTGTAGGTTCTTCAAGTATGTGTGCCCAGTCCCTGATTCTCCATTCCCCTCAAAAAGAAAACAACTTTGGTGAGGGGCATTCTTGTGCTTATTCTGCTCAGTGATTTTGTGCTGGGGGTGAGCATAAGTGAGCCTGTGAGTCGCCTCCACTAGTGGATGGACACGGTTATTTGCTGCCCATCCCCATTCCAGAAAGGACCTGTTGCCTCGCTGCAGGGAGAACAGTTAGCAAGTAGCCTCCAGTTGTCCCTTTGGGGGTCAGCCTCAGCTGCAGATAGTCACCTCACTCAATAAGGCCCAATTTGCAGGTAAATGGAAGGGCATAAAGGCCTGGCCATTTGGGTCCCAAACAGGTCAGCTCCCACAAGCCACTTATCTGCACAGGGCAGGGGTGGCCGAAGCTATTGTCAGCTTGCATTGTGGCTGGACTTCTCCCTTAATCCACTCCTGCTTCCATCACCCCTTTCCACAGGTGTGGGCCCCAAGGGCACTTACTAACATCCTGTATAATGACATCTCATGGTCTGCCTCCTGGGAGCATAGTCTGCCTCAGATCCAGTGGGAACACTCCTCCAGGCATGAGCACCTCCTCATGCTGGGTGTTTGAGATATGCTCATTTTTCATACAACATGGCCCTGAACACAAGCCAACTACTTCCTCTGTAGTGCATCCAAACAAATGGTGGATTATTGCACTGATGGAGAAAAATCCATTGCTCTATTTATTAACAAACGATATGTATGTTTCTAACATGTCACATAAATCCTGTGTCCTTGTGTAGCTGATGGCGACACCCCTCTCTAGATTCCCTTCACTCTGCCAGAGCATCTCTCCCAGCAGATTCCCTTTACTCTGCCAGAGCATCTCTCCCAGCTGCTGTGACTGTTGGCTGCTAACTGCTCACCGCACACCCTTCTTTTTTTTTTTTTTTTTTTTTTTTTTAAGAGATAGAGTCTCGCCCTCACCCTGTCACCCAGATTGGAGTGCGGTGGCACGATCTCAGCTCACTGCAACCTCTGCCTCCCAGGTTCAAGCAGTTCCCTGCCTCGGCCTCCCGAGTAGCTGGGATTACAGGCGCCCGCCACAATGTCCAGCTAATTTTTGTATATTTAGTAGAGAAGGGGGTTTTAACATGTTGGCTAGACTGGTCTTGAACTCCTGACCTCGTGATGCACCCACCTCAGCCTCCCAGGCCTGAGCCTCCACACCCAGACAGCACACCCTTCTTTTGAGATGTGCCCTCATCTAATTGGAGCTACTTCCTCCAGGAATGCCAAACAGGTCTATGTCCTGGAGAGACCCATATCCCTTGCCTGATTGTTAGGATACAAACAACTGCCCTTTTTGCCTCTGTGGGGTACAAATCCGTGGTGCTTTGCATGCCCCAGGGTTCCTTGTGGGATCAAGCTGAGAGTAGACTACAGCTGTTCAGCTGATTGAGCTCACACTTGCTGGATCTGATCCTCTGCCCTGCCCTGCTTCCTGCACTACTATGCAGGTTTCACCTGAGAGTACTTTTTCAATTACTTGCATCCTTTCAATTACTTGCATCCTTATCTCGGGTTCTGTGTCTAGGGAAGCTAACCTAAGATAATACTTTATGGGTGATTTGAGGAACATTTAAGGATAATTTTACTCTACATAATTTTAGCCTTATCTGTTGATTTCATGAGATAGATGTCATTGCTTTCCTCGGTGTGTTCCCAAGTACCTAGCATAGTTCTGAGACTTCATAAGCTCTCAGTTTAACTTTGGTCGAATAAATGAATGAATGAATGAGTCCACTACATTTGTGATTGTACCCTTGCTTTAACAACCAGTAGGCAATACTGCTTAGGGCTCAGTCTTACATTCAAGTGTTCTGAGCCTGAACTGGTACCAAGGCTAGCAAAGACTTTTATGGGTTTATTTTTCCCAAAAAGCAGAGAACCAATAAAATCACACTACCTTGAAACTAAACATCTCTTGTTATTTATCTGTAACTCCTCCTGTCCTTTAAAGCATTCTTTCTAAGAGTAGTGAGGACTAAGCTCTGATTTTTTAACTTGCCCAAATTCCTAAGGGGTCTGGGGAGTCATGCCCTACAAACCACAAATTCTCATCACATGGGTTTTATTTAACCCTGTATATCGTGACTTACTTCCCAGTCTGACTCTGGCATAACAAGGAAGAAAATCAAAATATTTTACCCCAAAACATGTTTTTCTGCCATAGCTTGAAATGGCCCTGAAAAGCCGTCCCTTGTGGGAAAAACCACATTCTACAGAGAATCCCCTCCACCTCCCTTTTTTTTCCCCTTTCTTCCTTTCCAGATCCAGGTGATAATCAGCTATGAGCTAGGCACCCTTTTAGGTCGGATAAGAAACATTTTACAATCTGCTTGTCCTGAAGTCTGCTGAGAGCTTCCTCTGCAGCAAAACTTGGTCTCTACAGTCCTTTGTCTTAACCTGAACATCTCCTTTCTATTGAACCTAGGTCTTCCGATAAACGCAACCAATTGTCTACCAGAAAATGTTTAAATTTACTATTGCCTGGAAGCCCCTGCCACCCGCCCGCCCACTCCGCCTTGAGTTGACCCACCTTTCTGAACCAACCAAGGTATTTTTAAATGTATTTGATTGATGTCTCATGCCTACCTAAAATATATAAAACCAAGCTGTACCCAGCCTACCTTGGGCACATGTTCTCAGGACCTCCTGAGGGCTGTGTCACTCGTATTTGGCTCAAAATAAATCTCTTCAAATATTTTACAGAGTTTGACTCTTTTCATCAACAGTAGTTACTTGATTTTCCCAGTTCACATTGGACTACCCCATGCCTGCTAAACACACACACACACACACACACAGACGCACACAGACACACATACACATATCCATGCACACACAAAGCGTTGTGAAGGAAAAGAAGACAGTGAGTCTGTTTCCTAAAGAAAACTGGGGTGAGGTGTCACTACATAGCTTTGAGGACTGGGGCATGGACTAGAATGCAGAGGCCTTCTTTGAAGTGAGCTAAATTGACTGTAGCATTCCTCTCAAATTGGTGGGAGGTAAGAGGGCTTTCCAGAATGGAAATGGAAATGTTGCAAACTGCAGAAATCCTTTTCTTTAGAGAAGACTGTTGGTAAGATTTCACAAAAGGCTATTAAAGATGATACACAGCTCTCTATTTCAATCTGTGCTTCTAAGCTTAAAAATCTAAGCAAAAATCCAGCAGTTGGATTTCTAAGCCTGTTTAAGAGGGTACAAAGTAGTCATTCCTATAACAGCCACAGATATATATATAAATTATAATCCCAGTTACAATAGGGCCATTTCTTAAATCTGCATTTCATAAGCCTGCACAGTGGAAATGTTTAGAGCACAAGCTTTGGAGCCAGATAGACCTGGGCATAGAGCAAGCCTTTGCCACTAGTTAGCTGCAACAAGACATGTTGCTTTGACATTTGAGTCTCAGTCCTATTACCTGAAAAATGAAGGAAATGCCTGCTTTTCACTTTTCTTTGAGAGAATTAAGTATGCCACATAACATTGATAGGGTTACAAACTTCTCCTCGTTTATCCAGGGCCAACGAGTTTTAAAACTAAAGGTTCCATATCCCAGAAACCTCCTCAGGAGGCCCCAGCCAACTAGGACTGCTAGTCACCTCAGTTGTAGCTATTAACTTTAATTTTATTTGGACAAGGATGATGTCAGTCAAACAGCAAATTAAAGCCTCATTATACTGAAACAATGACTACTGCTACTTCTAAATGGCAACAACAATAACTCTAAAAGATGTGCTTCTGGAAAAGGACAAACTAGAGTTCTGTACTCCCATGATATGGGCTCAAAAGGTTCCAAGCCATAAACAAATCCACTTTCAAATAATTACACTGCATTTAAGTTAGCAAATTAGTTAACAATACATTTTCTCGGAAACATTTTATAAAAGAGAAGCTTTCAAATCTGAGACATCAACGGAAAGGTACCCAACCAAAAGCAGCCGTGAGGATGTTCAAGAGATTAGTAGTCATGGCAATTGAGGACTAAGCTCTGATTTTTTATGTTGCCCAAATTCCTTTCTAAGGGGTCTGGGGAATCATGCCCTACAAACCATAAATTCTCATCAGATGGGTTTTGTTTGACCCTGCATATTGTGGCTTACTTTCCAGTCTGACTCTGGCATAACAAGGAAGAAAATCAAAATGTTTTACCCCAAAATATATTTCCTTGCCATACCTTGAAATTGCCCTGCAGAGTCTCTTGTGGGAAACATCCACATTCTGTGGAGAATCCCTTTTCCCCTTTGTTTTCCTTCCTTCCTTCCCAGATCCAAGAGATAATCAACTAAGAGCCAGGCACCCTTTTAAGTCTGATAAATTTACAACCTGCTCTCTTTAAAGTCTGCCATCTAAGACCTTCTTCTACACAATAAAACTTGGTCTCCACTTTCCTTTATTTTTAAACTGAACATCCCTTTCTATGGATCCCAGGTCTTTAGACAAACTCAACCAATTGTCAACCAGAAGATGTTTAAATTTACCTATAGCCTGGAAGCCCCCGCTTTGAGTTGTCCCACCTTTCTAAACCAAACGAATGTATTTCTTAAATGTATTTGATTGATGTCTCATGCCTCCCTAAAATGTATAAAACCAAGCTGTACCCCAACCACCATGGGCATATATTCTCAGGACTTCCTGAGGGCAGTGTCATGGGCTATGGTCACTCATATTTGTTTCAGAATAAATCGCTTCAAATATTTTACAGAGGTTGACTCTTTTCATCAACACAATCTAATTGTAACTCTAAAACCTTAGCTTTCAAGCCCAAACAAGAGGAAGATGAGGAAAAAAAAAACTATAATGCCAGATAATTTCTCTAGAAGATTGGAGGAGTTGTTTTACCCTCCTCTAAGAAAAGCAACATAAGTACAGGAAACAATCATGCCATTTTGTCCCTCAGTGCCTGTGATGCTTTATGCAACATACTTTCCCCTCTGATGTAGTTTTTCAGCCATCCAAACCTTTTTATTTAACATCACACCCCTCTCCCTTTTTAATGACAGGAAAAGAAAATGTTTCTATTGCGATTACTGGCTTTAAAAAAAAACAAAAAACAAAACAAACTTATGGCTTCCAATTCCTTGATGAGAGGAGCCTAATTGGCACCTTTTTATCATGCAGCTGTGCCAATCCTGCCTCCACTTCTAACATTTTTGTTTTGTGAGTTTTATCACCATTGACTCTTGTTAATGGGCCACCTCTAGTTTCTCACCTAGTTTTACAGCTTTTCAACTCTTTCCTTGCCTCATTTTAATGTCTGCAGCTTTAGTACCCCATGAATCATAGATTTTAGTCTTCTTGATATGCCTCTTTAATTAAAAGTAGTCTGCCATTTCTCAAGGGTAACCAGATTGACCGTGATAAACTCTTGGCAGTCTCCGACCCAGATGGACTTGTTTATCTTGGGGTTCAGGTGTCAATAATCAGCCCGTTCCCTGTGGAGGCTGGGACAGCTTGGCTGCCCCTAGAGACCTGGATTCAAGACTGCAGCTACCTTTGCTCAGCCTTTTCTCACTTTTCCCCAAAAATGGAAATAGAGATGTTCTCAGCTTTGCTTGAATGTCACAAATACAGCTGTACCTAACAAGGGATTATACAAACCTTTTCATAGTTCTTTGCAGACAACAAATAAAAGCACGACTTCTGCAATGATGATGTGTGAGACACCAATTTTTCTGTATACGTAGTACTTTTAATTATAAAAGGAAGACATAATTATGGCAAAAAGAAATTCAAAGAGAAGGGCTTTTAGTGCCTTTCCCAGAGATAATTATGGCCTATAATTTCTTATGGAATGTTGCAAGGATTTTCCAGGCATATACAAGCATAGGGCTCTGTTATTCTCTCTCCCTATATTCTTTACTGCCTTCTTGGCCTTCAACCACAGTTTAAATTATAGATTTATTTTTTTAACTTATTTTTTACTTCCTCCTCATATTGTAAACTTAAAGACAGTAAGGATCTAGCCTGTTTTGTCCACTATAATATCCCAGACTCTACTTCAGTGCCTGTCGCATAATAGACACTCAATAAATAATTTGACCATGAACACATGTGTGAAAATAAATCTTCAGAAAGAAAAGAAAGACAAACTTCCGGGAACAGAAACTGTGTGCATTGCCCTGCCTCAGTGTCCTAGAACTTTCCTACAAGAATTCAGTTATGTCCATGATTAATCATTCCTTGCACCATCTTGGAGAGACAGGTGGGAATGTTACTGTATTCACTTTTCAATGAGGCATCTGAAACCACTCGGGCAAACGCAATTAGCTCAAAGGCAATGTCAGTATTAGTGATGAGTAAAACTAAAGATGGTGGCCCCAGGTTTCATATCCCACCTCTCACAACTCTGCCAAAGCTCATTCTAAATTATCCACCATTAAGTTTCAGATAATGGGAAGAAAGAACCTGGGCTTAGAAGCAGACAGACCTGGGTTTGAATTCGAACACAGCCAAATCATGACTCCCTGGACCATGTTGACCAGATACCTAGTTTCTGAGCCTCTGTTTTCCCAGGTAGAAAATGCTGCTGCTTATCTTTTAGAGTTGTGAGGGTTAAAAAGTATGTCATAGTGTGTCTGGCACTTTGTAGGCACTTTAAAACATTATTTCATCCCCTACTCCTTCCCAAAAGATTAAAGACTAGAGCTTTATCAATTGCAACTCCAGATGTTTGACTTCTCTTCAGACAAGTCTCATGAAAGGAAGATACACAATAATGCATCCTAATTGTTCTCAAATTCTGTGAATTTATTTGCTGCTGCTTTGTGAATTTGTACGGCATTAATGCAAGGTCAGTCGGGATATTTGATCATAGCAACTCCACCAAGGTCCAGCTGCTAGCCTCAGAAGACAAGGGTCAGACCATGCTGCAGATAAAACTCTCAAGTATCCTCCAAGCCTGGAGCATATCCTATGCAGACCACAGCCCCCTGCCCCATCTACACTTACACTCACTCCGTCTAGGAGTTTGTATCAAGTGCCAAAAGGAGTTACTTTTCAATTTGAACCTCAGATAGAAGATCAGACATTAGGAAGGCAGCAGAACCTGCTTTAGAAAAGCAACTGAGCTCCCACAGAGCAGTCATCACAGGATGGTGGTGCAGAGTCGGGATGGGTGGGGTCGAAGCCATGGGAACCTTTTCTAATCTGAGTGATGACTAGGCTGTCTCATTCAATCATCACGTAGGTAGTGAGTACCTGTTAGGTATATAACCCTCAAGTAGGCTCAGGAGTCAAGGGAAGACTATAAAGAAAAATAAGGCGGTCTCTGCCCTGAGAGCCTTCTAGTTGAACTGGTTTGACCGCAGACCCTTAGATGAATGCCGAGTCTTGCAAATCTCTACAAGAGGTGGCAGCCAGTAAGTAGGTGCTCATCTTTGGATTGCCAAATTCCTTCCTTTTCCCAGACTTGTGCTAGAGAGTACACCAGAGTGCCCTCCTAACAGCTTTTCCCAGAGGTTTCTGTTGTTCTTTCCCTCCTTTTAATGTCCTGGTTTTGTTTTGCTAGAAGAGACTCATGTTTACTTCCCAAACTTCCTTGATATGTCTCACGTTAATGTTATCTGGGAGAACTCCTGGGCTGGTCCTAACCTCCTTCCTTGATCAGGTTTCCTATCTATGTGGGCCTTCACCTATCTTTCTTAGACTGGGCCAGGCCTTGCCTGTTGACCAGACACTGAGGGAGGGGAGGAGGAGA